CAACTTAACGGCTTCCGCGACTAGTTTCGCTCTCTGGACCGTGGTACGAACGGAAACTCGTAAAACCGGTCATATCCGTCACACTGTGAAAGCTGGCTGATCGTCGAACCGATCTGAAAGGGCGCGATTACAGCAGTTTGCAAATGAGAACAAAGGGATGGTCCAGATTAGACGGCGCGTGCACAAAAAAAGGATTCTATTTTTCATCCCTTATTTTGCGCGCGCGCACGTCTGCCGAGGAAAGAGGAAGAACCTGGTCAGAAATTTTTTAAAAAAGTTGATTCATCCGTACCTGTATCGAATGAACCGAACTTTCCGCTCTTTCTCGATTTCCTTTTGTTTTTCTCTATCGCATTTTTATTTTTTATTATCTCTATATTCTATGTAACTATATCATATCTATTCACTGGTCACGCACAACATGCGTGATCAGTAGGTTTCTATGCATGGACAAAATGTTTCATCTTCTTCCTTTTTTTTCTTCCTCTTGCTCCTCGACAGAAAGTGTCGCGTTGGCAATTATAACTCCCGGACTTCGTCTTAAGTCTCTATTTTCTAGACGAAGCTCGCGTTACCGTCATCCAGCGAATTTCTCTCCTCTTTCCACGGTATATAATACTTAGGTTACATTCGGTATTTTATTTCTTTTTCGCTGTCACTTCCGCGTAAAATAGAAAACGACGCGTAAGAGCCGAGATGAAACGAGAAGGAAAATAAAAGTTAGCTGCACGAATGGAGAAACATTCTTCTCTACAAGAGCGTGTCCCTCAAAACGGAAAAATTAATTACTTCTGCGACTAGTTTTCCACCACATTTTTCTACGTACATTTATTGTACAAATTATTTGATAGAAAAATTACAACGAAAATCACAATGTAAATAATATTTTTAAATTGTCTTTGTGTGATTTTGTCTTAAAATAAGAGTACCTAAAAATAAAAGCTCATATTTCTTTTGCACGGACACTTCAACAAAGTAAATCCAACATAATATTCTTCTCTTGTCCATTTATTTACGTTACATAAAGGAAGACTGTGCATTCTTCGTATAATTCAATGCTATTGTTATTAGAGTGCTAGACTTGCTAACAATGATGCTCTCTTTTGATAGACTTCTAGAACGATATTTTACTGATGAATAATGCTTACATTATATTTTATTTACATTTCAAGTATATTTAAAAGTCTATTTAATACACATACACATATAATTTATTATATTTAAAATATGTGTAATTTATAATTAAAGTGTCCACTGCGCAATTTCTGGCAAAATAGTCTGACATTTTTCGAAAATAGAAAATGGCGATACGCCAAGGTTAATGTTGAAAAGGTTAAAATACGCTTCCCGGTCGTGTACATTTTTCATTTTTTTCTCTCTTTTTCTCTCTAATTAAATATTATACGTTATCGTGCATCATTTAAATTCAATCGCACGTGGACGATAAAGAGGAGCCCTTACAATTAAAATCAGTGCGATACACATTTTTATTTCAACGTGCAAATCGTCCCAAGTGCTGGTCGAATTTCTAGCTGAATCCATCAAGCGCGGATAACTGCTTGTGCATCTGATGTTTCAAGCACTTCGTTAATCGAAATGTTTGATCTCTCGGGGATACTTGTTTTTTTTTGCATGCTACGCGATCGTTTTCCCATAGTGCTCTCGAGTCCGCTGTTTTTTGCGCAACATACACTCTTGTGTGTGATGAATTCAATGCTATTCGTTTTGTCAGACTCTTAACTTTTCGCGGATATACCCTCGGCTTGAAACGACGTATCGGGTAACTTCCGCTCGTTTCCAGCGTCTTCGCGTTTGACATTGCCTTAGGCAAATTTCATTAACGAAGTCTTCCCGTTGTCTTCAACGAATGTGGATGGTCCCTAATTAAGAATGTGATTTTTGACTAAAAGGACGTAATATATGTTTCAAGTGACGGTATGCTTTTAAATGGAGATTCATCTGGATATATATAAAATGAATTTTTAAGAACATTGTGTATTGCAATTACATCTTTAATGGATCGTTGATTTTAAAATTAATGTATCATAAGAATCAAAGTTACTTTACGACATGGTGTGGATATTATACTCTCTTTATAATACGGCATTTCTTTTTAATCGGTATAGTGCGCACAAATACGCAATTTATTACTATTTTATTACTTGGCAGAGTATTCAGTTGAAATAGAATCTCTAGATATGTGACTATAACTTGAAGAAATATATACGCTGTGTCATAAAAACTATTCTATCACATAGTAATATTGGATTTCGAGAGCATCTGAAAGCGCGATATTTTTTTATATCGATATCGGATACGAATTTATCGATTTTGAATCCGTTTTTTTATATACAATATTATTTCGAAGCTTGTGTACGAGCTCGTAAAGAATCGAATGCAAACATATCGTCAGCCTGTAACGTTTTCGTTATTTTTCTCGTGTTATTTTTCTCGTTCGGTGAATTTAACGCAAATATTTTTTGAATCCACGCACCACAAACGGTGTGAGTTTTGTTCTTTAATTATTATTGGCTCATACGCGTCATTCCTGTTCACGGCATAATAAGGATGAAATTACGGAAACCTAGGATAAAAGTTTTTGCGGGCGCAAATTCGCGCGTCGAGTTTCTGCAGCTAACAGTGCCGTTTTTAGTTGCATCAATCTAGTGCAACGTTTTTCACTCTCATGTTCCAGAACTTTGCAATAAAAAATATTATTTTTGTACGTAGTAAAATTATTAAATTTAAAAAATGAGACGTAACTTTTTTTTTAACGATCTGAATTTTTTCTGTAAAAGTATAGGGTCTAGAAAAATATTTTTCCTAATAATTTGTGAACAAATCTATATTAAATAATATCTTATTTGTACGTGAAAAGTGCTGCTTTAATCTCTCTTAAACGCGAACTAGAGCATTTTCAGAATTATTTGCGCAAGAAACCATTTTCGAGAGAGCAAGCACAGAAACGGACGTGATGCGCGGATATTGACGTTCAAGATTTCCTTCAAGATGTATTAGTCGTAAACTGAAATTGTCGCGTCAAAATATATTCCGCTATTTATTCCTATCGCCGGTCTCTCAATTTCTTTTTCGCCGATCCGCGGTTCGTCTTCCTCATAAATTCCGTGACGGCCGGGAAACTGAATGTTATTCGTATGAATATCGCGTCTGCGGCGGACTCCGCTGCAAGGGATTCTCTTATAAAAGAAATACGCCGCCCCATCGAAACGAAGTAGTTTGCTCAGGAAAATGCTCCTCCCTCAGTGCGTAAACATAAAAATTACCGAGTCAATGGAAGACAATCTCGTAAAAATTCGTCAGCGCGATAGAATGCACAAATATCGTTATATTGACATTAAAAAAAAAAAACAAGTTTTAGATTAATTATATTCTGCATATCTAGGAGAAGCCTGCTTGAATATTTTACCATATATTTTTTTACTTTGATTAGCAGTTAGAAGTCACTATATTATTTCGGATTTCTGTAGTTTATTTTCTTAAAATATGAACACAATTATACCAGATGTGAAAAGGGACAGAATTATATCAAGTATACAAAACTGCGATTTCGGGGATGAGGTGGTATTCACGAATATCCCGAGAATTTGCGGTGGAAAAGTATTGCTCGTAAATTCTGGCCGAGCATTTCACTACTTATTCTCGCGAGGCGGCTTCGCACCTTTCTTTCTCCATTCAGAATTCCGCTCAACTTTCTTCGTTTTAGGACACTCAAGTAAGGGAACATCAATGAGTAAACTTTGCCGAACGTTTTATGTGCAAGCATCATCATTTTTTTCTTCCAGAGATCATATCTCGGTATTATTACATAGCATAAGATCGTACATTTTACGCATATTTTCAAAATCTTCACTTTTTTTATTTCTTTTTATCAGATAACGATAATAATGATTAATCTCTTTACTTCTTTATAAATTAATTTTTAACCATCATTTCATTAACTAGAAATATGTCGAATAGATTTTGCTTTCATTTATCTATACATATTAGATAAACGCAAGGAGAAATGATCGATTTATCGACGAAATTTTCAGACCTTCAGCGCGAATGTCGTTTTGTAACGATAAAATAATTATACGAAGAATGCGCGGAATCGCATGGAGGAGGAGGAGAGACGATCACGCGGAATTCACGTCTAAGACTTCCCTCAGGATTTGCGCAAACTTCGGTCGCCGACTTGACGCTCGACTATTTATTCCCGCTGCTTTACGATTCGCTTCTTCCACTTCGTTATTCGCCCACCTTATCGGGCGCGTTCTCCTCCTCCCTCTCACGCAAAAGATTCGCACTCTGCAGAATGATTATTTATCCAAACGCTCCCTTCTTCGGCGATTTTACACGGCTTTGTAAAGGCGAGCGAGAGGAGTAAAATCCAGACGTTATCTCTATTTTTCTCCCCCCTTTTCTCTCTCTTTCTATCCCTCTTTCTGCACAAGTATCGATTTTAATTTCAGCAGAGTACACGCCGTCGCGACATCGTGTAAGAATCTTGCGAGTATTCCTGTAAAGTTTGCGCGAACAAGATTGTCGATATTCGACGGACTCGTGAATAACGCCCGGCTCGTTCCTTTCTCGCGAAAACGCGTTTCGCTTCAATTCGCCAGAGAGTCTAAAGTTAAAAGCCTCCCCCTCCCGAGTTTTATTTCACCGTTGTTCTCCATACGCGCGTGAAATTATCGGGGATAACGGGATAACGCGAGCGCGATTCAAATTTCTCTGGTATATTAACCGAATAATGATCATTGGATGTTTGGACTTTGAAACGATGAAGGTATAATGATTACTCGTTCGCGGTTATGCATCCAATTTGTGGTTTTGTTACGCGTAGACATGTGTACGTGTGTATATGTTTCATATCATTTGAATGCATGAATATGTAATCCTTTTAGAGAGGAATTTCCGCCAACTTTATATTTCGTGTGAAATTTAATGTACGATATTGTTGTGATTGTTCTAATCAATTTTTATTTTCCATGTTGCAGGAAGCGAGGCGAGAGCTTGAGGGGCTGAGAGAAGGCATCGTCGCCGGAATACGCAGTCGAGATAAATAGGATGATCAAATAACCGTTGGATAAAGATGTAAGTAACGATTATGCATGTTGGATTAGACTTCGCATGATATATAACTGGTACAAAGCTCGACATGTAATTACATAACTTTGCATTAAATGTCATAACCGTAATTACGTTTTCCGATAGCTATGCATGAAAATCGAGCATAAATTGAAACATAGATATTTAATCGGTACGATCTATGCGTTTTCATCGCAACCCACTAATTACACTGGCACATTTTGAATTACATTTAATGGCACCAATTCCCCGTCGAATTTGTAATTTAGAATCGGCTACAAAGATAATACTTATTGGATTAATAAAATACAAGTTAAAATATCGTTAAGTTGGTCGAGTTGATAGATTTTAATTATGGAAGTAATGAGAAATTTACGAAATATTTATAAATTCACGCTCACGCGATAGATGAAAGGAGAGTTGGAAACTTTAAGTCGTATCATTTTTTTCGAATCGCAATTAATACGTATAAATAAATTAATAGATGTTAATATTGACTAGCTTCGAAATTAAGATTTTATACCGAGACACTTTAAAAGATTGCGGCGTGTACGGAAAATCCTTATGCGTGGAATAAATTTGCAACACGTACGACGCAAGGTGTGGTTTAAACTTGCAAGCGGACTCTCCGGATATATCGCGGACTACAAAGTCGTAGAAAATCTTCGCCAGGCGGGACCGAACGTGATATCCGAAGTCACTCACGAATTCATAGGATATTTTTTCGCTCTCGCTCGATTCCTCATCTCGCGCGATTCCCTCTGTCTTTTCTCCATCTTCCCTACCTTTATATAACACTATTCCCTTTCTTTATCTCCGCCTTCTTTGTTGGCGCGACTTACTCCCGCTCACGTGCGCCGATTTGGTAATGTTTCCCAAGATTTTCTGCAGGAGCATCTTCTCTTTCTTATCCACTATAAATTTCACGGCAATCAGCTATAAGCTCTTTCGCGCGGTTTTACTTTCTCCGAGCGTCGCTATAATATTCGAAAAATTATATTATCAGAAAATTTACGGCAAGAAATCGAATTTTTCCAGAATGTATTGTCTTCCATATTCTTTACACGTTCAACTTTACGTTCTTATCTTGATTAATTGATATAATAATTTGTGAAGATAAATTGTTATTACATTTTCAATAATATATATAAATTAACAAAATAGGAATAAGAAAAGAGATCGTACGATCGAAATGAAAAGAATCGCGGAGATATCCAGACAGTATTTTCTCGCTTTTTATGGTGTTGTTGCTCTCCGTAAATTTATTCTCCCAAAATGTTCGACATTCGTAAAAGCGCACTACGGGAAATTGTAGAATGTAGCGTTTGTGGAGCGACAACTTATACCGGTATACGGATTTATCGCGCGCGTATATGTACTACTACGAGTAGTGCGAGTCAACAATGTAGGAAGTCTTGTAGAAATAACTCCGGGGAATAGATGGTCGTAAGCAATTGAAAGTATCCTATTCTCGATTTGGCTACGACTCCGTGGAATCTCTCGAGCGTGATAATAATGCCCGTATCTATCCCGTACCTTAATGGTAGTTACATCTGAGGAAGATAATCGTCTTGGCGACCCAGTTTACAAACGCATTTGTCGCCTTACAGAGAGAGGTACAGAAAGAGGAAGAGAGAGAGAGAGAGAGAGAGGTAGAGATAGAAAGAGAAAGATAGAGGCATGTATGAAGCGTTGCACACGTGCTTGCAACTCGAGCGTAAGGCGTTTGCGCTTTTGAAGCGGTCTTAATAGTCACTCCGTCGCGGTGCTCCAACTTTCGAACGTTTTATTTGAAATTCTGAAGTGGAAGTTCTTCTACTTAATCCAAGTATAATAACACGAATTTAGCACTGACATAACCGAAACGTAAGAGTCTCTGCGTATGCGCGAGCGTGATTGGCAAATGACGCCAAGTTCATTCGCAATTCCAGACCCAGACAATATTATCATTTTATGATATTTTAATTTCGCGGAATTAAATATGATTAGTTTCGAAATATTGAGTGTATATACATATAATAAATTACTACCCTCGTTACGCGAAAATTATGAAAATTTTCCAGTTTATATTTTCCGTATTTTTATAGGTAATTATTATTTATTTCGAAGCTCTCTCTCTCTCTCTCTTCTCTTTCTCGCTTTCTCTTCCGAGAACGTTACGACTCCCGATCAATAACTGCAAACGGGTACGGACGATATTACAGATAATGCGGACAGAACGAGCGGCTGCTCGGCGATGAGCCCTCGCATTTTTTGAATTACCAGATCACGAAAGCTCGCGCAACGGTTAACGACGAGTTCGATCCGTTAAATTCTCTTTCGTCGCGATGCGGAAGGTACGCGGAAGCGACATTACTGCAGCAGCTGCTGCGTGTCGTCGTTCGACGACGACGACGACGACGACGACGACGACGACGATGAGTTTTGACTGCACTTCGGTGTCAAAGATGCAATAAACTCCTCGGCATCATCGAGATATTTAAGTGTCTCCAGAGTTCTACGAGTGCTTCCTCTGGTGAGCAGGCAGTCTCGCAATGACCTAGTTCAAATAAAAACATACTGGATGTACCACATAAAATGATCAGCGAACGTGACTTTTCTTCACCGGGAAGCTCTCTTGCGGGATTAATATCTATTGACAGATTGGAAACTTGTTAGAGGGTTACGAGCTCGACGTCGCGCTGCTTACTGATAGCGAGATTTCCTAAAATTGAAGTAAAGTACATTGTCGCGCGATAATTAAATTTCTTACTTAGATACGACATGGATGTACGAAATATTTTCAAGGATTGTTTATGTTTTTACTTTCCGCATTATAAGAGGGAAGAGCTTTGATAAAATATTCACATATTTTGCGAGAGCATAGGACGCGTTGTATACTTTGGGCAGTATGCATAAACACCGGTCCTCGGTAGGTCAAACATTTTTCCTTCCGTCCCTCTTTGCTATCTTTCGTTTTTCATTCTTGTATTTTGTCTTGTTTCTACAACCTCCGCTTCTCTTTATCCCAGTCTTCTGTAGCCGTGAGGGTCCAAGAGTAGTTATGTCATCCGATTTGCATTTTAAAGAAGCAATAGGAGCACTGGCGACTAACGACGCGTACATTCTGGAATGGAAACAAATCTAAGGGGAGACGATAATTATTGCTGGATTATTCCTGCATATATGCATTAACGATGAGGAATGTTCTCGCAAAAAATTGCTCCAATTTTGCGTGTAAACAAGCATTGTTTAAATAATTTAAATATCACAATCTGTATATTATATACATAAATTAATTATATTTCTTCAAAATTTGCCTCTCAAAAGTGTTTTTATAGAGACATTCGTAGACTTATACCGAGAGACGTCTATCACCTTTCTTTTGGACCGGTATCCATCTGTTTCTTAAATACAGAATTATATTTTCTTCCGTATACCCTTTGCATCTGTGCAGTGATTACAGCAGTGTCGAATTTTGCTCACCAGCTCTGGTGTAGACGATGCTCTCGAAATGTGCACCCGACTACATAGGATTACGCGCGAGCATCTGCCGCCGCGTTCCCGGTTCGTATTACGTGCCTTCCTCTATTACGAGGGGAATTAATGCTCCCGATGGTCCCTGCGCGTTTTCGGAACGGGGAAAAACAATAGGTAATTCCCGAGACACTTGTCCGCTCACTCGCGCGCCCTGGTACCTGTCTATTGTTCCCGCAGACCAGTCGACAAGTAGAGGTAGAGACAGAACGAAGAGAGTACGACGAGCGCGTAGATTGAAAGTGGTTTTTGTTTCTTTATTAGTAGCAACAATTATCATCAGAAGCGTCGAGAGAAGCTTAGGTAAAAGATAAAACGTGAAAAAGGCGGCGTTGGATCGACGCGTGGGTACTAGATAAGGGTAGAGCTTTCGAAGAGTAAATAACGTCTCCGATAGATTCGAATCTTTGCGCGCGTTTCTGCGTCGTTGATAGCCTCTTTATCGGCATCATTACGCTCGGTTTGCCATTCACCCAAGTTTCCGAAATCAGGGAAGCTCCACCAAGTATTTCCGGACATTCGTCTCTTTTTCTTCTTGTTCGTATTTTCTCTCTTTCTTGTTTAGTATTCTTTTCCGATAATTCTCCGTTCCGTTTGCTGATTTTACAGCGGATAAAAGAGGGATGATCTTCTTAAAGAGATCTTATTATATGTACAGGTTCGTATCGCGCTACGGTCATTTCTGGTCATTTCGCACGATGCACCAGGCGGCAGATTTGACGATTCATCGCGCGACACTGCAGATTAGCCCATTCTGCGGCAACACGTAATGAGAGTGGGTAGTTTCGAACCGCATGGTGAACCTGAGTGCGCCAAATTTGGCCGGGCGGGTTGCAGTTCTCATCAGCGTCATAAGCTACATCAACCGTTACGTTGCAACATGTTAGTTCCTAATGGCTGTTGCCATCGGACACGACACATTTTGATTCTGAAGAAACTGTACTAGGTATCGTTGCACTCCAAATATTTCCAAATATGGTCATATCAATTTTCATGCAAGAATAAGTTAAAAATATTACTCTAGAACGTTACAATTTTTCTCTATGTAGCAAATTTATTTCTCACATAGTTTGCACTATCGTATATTTTTTAAATTAAATAATAAAATATTACATAATAAAATAATTATATAAATATAAATTTAAATATAATATATATATATAAATTGTTATATAATTATATAATATATGATTATAAATTACATAATATTAATAATATCGCGTCGAAAAATTGCCTGTAGAGATCTTACCGATACTTCCATATATTCAAAGATCTTATTTTTGATATCTTGAAAAAGAAGAAATTCTGATAGAAAGATTGAAGATAGAATCCTGCCATCGTGTATAAATAATAGTTTTATGCCTAATATTTCTAGTATATGTTACTTTGGCATTCCAAAGTTATAATTTGCCGAAACGTCGCGTCGTTCGAGAAGCGGGTAAAAAAATAGAGCTTCCTCTGTTGAGAATTTTATTTCTTAGCACAATAGC